ATCATTTCCCTCCCCTTTGTGGCAAAGTTCACAGCAAGTGTTGTTTACACTAACTGTTTCCACTTTCTTACCCCTCAATCTCTTGAGCTCACTCAACTAGGCCTTTATTCCCATCATTCCTCTAAACTCTCTTGGTCAAAGTTGCTAATTCAGTGGTCAACCCTCAGGTCTAATCTTTCTTAATGGACTCCTCACAGATTTGACACAGTTGCTCTCTCCCTCCATTTGAAAACAATTTCTGTAGTTGGCTTCTGAAGTACAACCCCTCCTGCTTTTACTTCTACTTCCTTGGAAAATTCATCTGCTACATTTTCTTTGTATCCCATATCCCATTTAGGATATGACCAGAGTTGGAGTTCCACATGAAATGTTGGAGTTCCACAGGGCTCAGTGTTTAGACACTTCTGATTTACAATCACACCTATGTGAATCTACTATCTATGCTGGAAAAATGATCCATATAAACTGATGACTCCTAAGTGTTTATTTCGCCCTTATTTTACGCTTGCACTCCAAAATTATCTATTCAAAATAAAATTATCTATTCAATGATCTCTTTGAATATCTCATTGAAGGCCTACTATGCAACTCAAGTTTCATGTGTTCAAAATTTAGATTCTTGGTTTGCCTCTCAAGGCTGTTGTTCCCCAAGTCCTCCTCAACTTAATAAATGGCACCACCACCCATTCAATTCCTCAAAGAATTTTAGAAGCATCCTTATTTTTTGCTTTTTCCTTCATCCTGTCTAATGCATAAGCATAACATGATTCTTCAGTATACAACCAAATCCTGACCACTTCTTACCAATGTTGTTGCTACCACATGAGTGGTAACCATCACTATCAGCTGTACTGTAGAAAGTTACTAAATACTTCCCTGTTTCTACACTGCTTTCTCCTATCATCCATGCAACAGCCAAACTTTAAGAATATATAAGGCAGGGCATCCCTGGGTGGCGCAGCGGTTTGGCGCCTGCCTTTGGCCCAGGGCACGATCCTGGAGACCCGGGATCGAATCCCACGTCGGGCTCCCGGTGCATGGAGCCTGCTTCTCCCTCTGCCTATGTCTCTGCCTCTCTCTCTCTCTCTGTGTGACTATCATAAAAAAAAAAAAAAAAAAAAAAAAAAGAATATATAAGGCAAATCATGTAACACTGTTTAATCTTACTCCAAGTAAAATTCAAATTCCCCTTCAGTGGTCCCTAATGTTTTACCTAATCTATCTCAGTTTCCTCTCCAACCTTATCACATGACAATCTCACTAGTTCACTGTACTCTATTCGAATGTGCCTGTGCTCTGTTTTTTAAATACTTGAAGCATGGTCTCAGGTCCTTGGACCTGCTATCCTGGTATGTTCTTCCCACTGCAGTGACACACATATCGTTTTCACTCCAGCCTCTAACAAATATCATTTGCTCATTGTGGCCTCACTTAACATGGTTTCCAAAAACCTCCTCCCCAATTCCTTGTACCACATCCTTTACTATATTTACTTTATTTCATAACACTTATCATTTGTTACCCTTATATTAATATTTTAAGGATAGTTTTAGGTTACAGAAAAATTTCCAAGCTAATATAGAAAGTCTTTATACCTCTCTACATCTATTTTCCCCAATTATTAACATCTTACATTAGTATAGTACATTTGTCACAATTAATGGAACAGTATTAGTATACTATTATTTCCTAAAGTCCATGCTTTATTCATATTTTATTAGCTTTTATTTCACTTTCAGGATCCCATTTAGGATATCACATTACAGTTATTTGTCAGGTTTCCTCAGGCTCCTCCTAGCTGTGATAATTTCTCATATATTACTTGCTTTTGGCAACTTTCAAGGTTTTCAGGAGTACGTAACATATTTTGTAAAATATCTGTTGGAATTTGTCTGATGTTTTTTCATGATTAGGCTAGGGTTACAGATTTGGGGAGGAAAAGACAACAGAGGTTAAAGTACCATTTTCATGCCCTCATATCAAGGATATATACTGTCAGCACGACCTATCACTGTCGATGTTGACCTTGATTACCTGGCCGAGACAGTTTTTGTCAAGTTTCTCCATTGCAAAGTTACTCTCTCCTCACTCCTCTCCATATTTTAGCCTTTGAAAGGAAATCAAATTATATTTCACTTCCTTGAGGGCAGAGTACATATTAAAGTTTTAAGTCAATAGATGGATTTTCTCCCTCCTTCATATACACACTTAAGTAAGGAGGATAATTCCCATTGCCTACAACGGCTCTCAGTAGAGCTCCTAATGCACAAGGTTCTTACTAAGTATTAACCAACTGAATGAATTAATTTCCCACCACATGTACCTATTCATGTGTTACGCTCTGCACAGGCACTTTCATGCATGTACCTAAAAATATCTTCTCCCCCTTCCCCAGATTTCTAAGATAAGTTTTCACTCATTCTTATAAATCAACTCTTCATAACTGCCTAAATTTAAAGGCAAATTTATATATACAAAGTATTCTAATGTTAATGTATAGCTATATTATAGTACATATTACTCACTATTCCAATTCACATCTCAGCCTGCTGATATCCCTGATAAGCTCCTTCAGACTCCTTTACCTTTGGTGAACCCTGATGCCTAGCACTGAGCCTGGAATATTTCCCAATGTCTGCTGATTGAAGGAGACTAAACTAGATGGATGGATGGCGTGGACCTTCATTTCACACAGTTGACTTTTTCTAGCCTATTCCAGGCACCTCACCCGAGTCATCTGCTCAAGAATTTAAACCCTTTTTTTTGGATTTTAACACCCCGATGTGGAATGGCTGATTCTCTCCCAGAGTCCACATCAGAGCCTTGTTGTTTCATAATCAGTAGGACCTTTCATGCCAGAAGCCCTAGAAGGATGGGGTTATGAGTTGAGGCCAGGTCAGAATGAAGATTGAAGAAAATGGTAGAGAAGGAGCTGAAAGTCCAAATCAGCAAGTCTGTGCAAAAGTTTAGCAGTTTCATGGTCAGGCACATCACATGAAAGAATCTGCAAGACTATAGGGAATGTTTACATAGGGTAAACATTCTATCACAACTACTTTATGGAGGTAGGCTGCATTTCTCAAAGTCAGACTATCCAATTTTATTGTACATGGGTCTCAGCCTTCCATTGGGTGGTCTGTGACACTAGATTCTGGATGAGGACTGAGAGCAAAAGAAGCTTCCCCAAAATAACGACTTAATACGAAATCACATATGACACCTGTTCATTCCTACCTGCAGCACAGACCCCAGAGATCTGGTAACATTCCAGATGTCTAGAATGACATGAGTATTGACTATTTTCATGGATTACAAAATATATTTTTCTGTATTTACTTTTCCATTGTAACAACTTTTCTGGGATCCCTGGGTGGCGCAGCGGTTTGGCGCCTGCCTTTGGCTCAGGGCGCGCGCGATCCTGGAGACCCGGGATCGAATCCCATATCGGGCTCCCGGTGCATGGAGCCTGCTTCTCCCTCTGCCTGTGTCTCTGCCTCTCTCTCTCTCTCTCTGTGACTATCATAAATAAATAAATTTAAAAAAAAATTTAACAACTTTTCTGATTATAAAAGTAAAAGTTCTCATTCTAGAAAATATGGAAACAGAAAAATAGAGAGGAAACAATAAACATTTACCCATATTTACCCACTTTGAAAGAATGAGTTAATATTTTAAGTTATATCCCTTTCTTTAAGTATTTACAGGCACACTGAAAATGGTTTAAATACATTTATATGTATAACTTTGTACCATGCTTTTTCCAGTAACATAAAATAACATAATTTTTGCATCTTAAAAAAAAAAAATCTTCTCAAGGGCCAAATTCTGAATGACTGTGAGGTTTCTTATCATCACATGATTTCCCATGATTCCTATTTGCGGAAGTTCCAATTTCTTATCATGATGAGTTATGCTATCATTTCACCATCGCTCCAAGATTGGCCTCAACAATAGGGATAAGCACAATAGCTTGAGGAAAAATAGAGAGAGGGTGACTTCACCAGTTGGAGAGGCCTTAGAAATTCTCCCCTAAAGAAATGATAAGTTAATATAATTGACTGGATGGATAAATGGAGGGAAATGTAATCTAAAGAGAAGGGATAACTAATCAGAGGAAAATACAGAGGCTTAAAAATGACATTCATTTCACACTTATTAGCTTACAAGTTTTTTTTTCAATTTTTAAAAAAATTGGAATATAATTGGCATATAACACTGTACATTTAAAACATACAGTGTGTTGATTTGATGATCCATTTATTTATTGACATATGATCAACCATCCTAGTGTTAGTTAACACCTCTATCACGACACATAATTATTATTATTATTATTTTTTAATGGCAGGAACAAGTAGAATCCAGTCTCTTAGTAACTTCAAACCTTATAAACTTTGCTTTTTATATTCTTAAATAATTTTTATGGTTAGAAGCTCCCTTTCTTATGTTGAGCAAATTCCCTTTTCAATGAACTTTCATGACTGGTTCTCCCTTCCACTGAAGCACAAAATATGGGCATCCTGGGGGAGGGGGGGGTTGAGGAGGAGTAGGGTGGTGGGGGGTGGTGGGGGTGGTGGGGGTGGCCTCAGCAGTTTAGTACCTGCCTTCAGCCCAGGGCGTGATCCTAGAAACCCAGGATGGAGTCCCATGTCAGGCTCCCTGCATTGGAGCCTGCCTCTCCCTCTGCCTGTGTCTCTGCCTCTCTCTCTGTGTCTTTCATGAATAAATAAATAAAGTCTTTTAAAAAAGAAGCACAGAATAAGTCTGTTCCTCCTACAATATGCCCATATTTTTTGTAAAAGTCCACAAGTTTATTCCTAGATAAAGATCCTTATTAGAGTGAAGGAGCTTCAAAGATCATCTCGTTCTGTAAATTAAGAAAAACTACGTCCAGAAAAGGATGTTCACCAACTACCACTTCCCCCATCCCCCACAATAGTCGCATACATACTTAATGGCAGCGCTGAATAGATAAATCAAATCTCCACCTTTCAATTCACCTGTCTTTCCAGTCTGCTACTTTCTCTTCTCTAGGATGAATCTTCCCAGTTCCTCCAAGCATTTGTGGTTCAAGACTTTTCCTGCCCCTTCTGGATCTGGATCACCTTCTTCCAATTAGTCCTAGCAGGCTTGCCTTTTACCTGTGTTCATTTAAAAAAATTTTTTTATAAGATTTTATTTATTTATTCATGAGAGACACACAGATGCAGAGACACAGGCAGAGGGAGAAGCAGGCTTCCTGTAGGGAGCCTGATTCAGGACTGGATCCGGAATCCCAGGATCATGCCCTGAGCCAAAGGCAAATGATCAACCACTGAGCCACCCAGACATCCCTACCTGTGTTCATTTATACAAAAAAGATGGAATGTAGACATTTTTCATAGTTGATTTACACAACACAGCTCAGGGAATTCTCAAGATCTCTTATTAAATGACAAAAATTTAATTGAGTAATTTAAAAGATCAAATTGGCTTTATTGAACAATTCATGGATGGGCAGCATCCCAACTGGTAAATGGAAAGGAGCCCTGTCCAGTTGTAGGAAAGGAAAGTTCTTTAAAGACAGAGAGGAAGTAGGAAAAGGAAATTATTAGCAAAGAATGCACTGTTTTAAGCAAGGTTCTCCTCCTAAGGGGAAAGGAAGGGACCTTTTAGTAAATTTCCTACTGCTGACCAGGAAATTCATCTTGACTAGTAAGAGGTTACATTCTGGGGAGCTTTGCAAATGCAGTTAGCTTAGGTATTAAGTCTTACTTTCCTGCAGTGGGGCCTTAACATAAGTGACTCCATTTTGGGCCTGTGATTTTCTTTCTAACACTCCTGATTTGGGGTTTAACATCCTGTCTCCATATATAAGAACACTGAGGCTCTAAGAGGGGCAGGACCTTACATAGTATTATGAAGATGGTAAACCATGAAAATAGTATTTAGCCTCTAATATGCCTTTAATTTTTTCTAACTCAAATTACATTTGTCCTGTTTTTGTTTTGTTTCAGAATCTTCTAATTGTAGTCTATCTCCCAATTTCAGCAATTGTTCCCCCTTCCTTAGCCACATCCTGACACCACGTATAAAGTGATCAGTCAAGTGAGCTCTAGATAATTATCCATGGTCAGATTATAGCAATCATTTAAATTCTTCCATTAGCCATCAGCACGAACACACACTCTAGATGCCTGTATCTTAATGCTAAAAAGTCTGAGGTTTTAGTATGCATTTGATTCCTCAGGAATTCCTTTGTTTTCCTAAATGCCTTGTTGAATGGGATGAAAGACAAAGATAGCCTGCTGCCTGCCCTCTTAACACTAGGTTTCCAAATAGACTCAACAGGGAGATTACAAAGGGTTAAGCAGTAAATTTGTTTAATCAGTGGGTAAATACCAGGTTTGTTTGACTTTTAAATTAGAAAGTGTTGTCAGCCTTAAACACAAAAGCATCGTGAGATGTTTGGTAAAATGGTAATGTATTACTGATTATTTTAATTCAGAAGAAAGCCACAGTCTATAATTAAATGTTCTCTGCTTAACACATTTTCCTGTTGACTTTCTCACTAAAAATAAACAAGAAAAAAAAAGTGGGTAGGAGATTGCAGACATTCCTGAAGACCACTGGGACCAAACTCACAGACTTATTGCCAGCACTGCCCATTTAGAAAGTTCTAAAATCCTGTGTCCTTCTAGTGGGGAACAAGCCTAGCTGAGGACAAAGCACAAACTCGCACCCTGCAACCCTGCACCCCCCTCTCCTGGGTGGGATGTGTGTGACATTCCTCAGTCACTCTTGGCTGCCCTAAAGCTAAGAGAAAGGAAAAACAAGTAGTTAACTTGTAGAGATCATAGTTCTACAGACATGAGTCTCCCTCAGTTTACAAAATGTATTAGTGATTTACAAAAAAAAGCATTCTTATCAATAACCTAATTTTCATAAGGAAACTCCCAACTATCTTAATATTAATGCTTTACTAGCGGGAAAAACAACCTTAACTTGACAATGGCAAGGCCTCCAATATCTTGTAGGTCCTCTTTAGCACACAAAAGTTCTTTTGAAACCTCCCTTTTCCTTACCTTCCCCAGCTTTCAGGTATATAATCAGTCACCCCTCACAAGCCCAGGGCAGCAGCTCTCCTGCCCATGGGTCCTGTCCCTGTGCTTTAATCAAACCACCATTCTGTACCAAAGACATCTCAAGAAATCTTTCTTTGTCTTTGGCTCCACACCTCACCCCATGAAACCTCACCTATATTCTAAAACTACATCACTTCTTCCCCCGACTCATGAAGACAATGGCAGATTCAGTTCATATTTGAAGATATTTCTAAAGTCACAGAATAAAAGACATTGATGTCTTGAAATATAATACAGGTGAGATATGCATTATGTATATAACCATTGAGCAGAAAGTAAAAATACGATCCTGATTCATTGCTAGTCCAGTTTCTAGATGAAATCTATGTAACACTGAATCTCCCTCATATTGGCTCTGTAGTTTAAAGATGCAGTTTGGTGCAGTGGGGGAAAACAGGAGCCAGGATGATGATCACAAAGGTGTAACTATAAAATAAATCCCTGATCTGAGGCACAGGCCACACACTGATTCTGCGTCAAGATGTCTCAGGTTGGCATGAGACTGGTTCATTGACTATCTCACTCAAAAACTTCATTCAGTTTCTCCTGGATGTCAGGCCCTTTTCTGTCTCCAAAGATAGTGAACAAGGAAGTCCTGATCCTGCCCCCAAGTGTTGAATATTCTGGAAGAGGGAAGGTAGAGAAGAAGAGAGAATTCCAACAATTAAGCTATTTTCAAGTAGTGTCAATTACTGTGAAGACCAGACAATAGGCTGATAAGATGGAAAGTGATTTATGGGATGTACTATATTAATGACTGCAATAAATATGAAGAGAGGATTGCTGCTAGTATTTTTTCTAGAAGGGGATATATGGGGAACTACATGGAAAAAGCAGCATGTTAGCTGTCCTTTGAATGATGGGTGTTCATTCTTTGTTTGTTTTCCACATACAAATAGGGCCCTAATAGCACTGGATTATTGGAGGTAGTTGTTCTGTTTTGCAGGTCATAGGCATCTCTCTCTCTCTTTCTCTTTTTTAGAGAGAAATTGTACATGGGGGAAGGGGCAGAGGGAGACAGAGCATCTTAAGCAGGCTCCATGTCAGGAGCTCAAGGCAGGGCTCGATCTCCTGACCCTGAGATCATGACTTGAGCCAAAATCAAGAGTCAGAAGTCCTAACTGGTTTCTTTGTTTTCAGCTGCCTGAAAGATCTTTCTAAAACATGGATTCACAAATTATTTTGACCACAACCCTCAGCAACAAAAACTTACTTTATGAACTAGCAACTGTCTCTGGGCCTCCTGGCTTATTCATACTCGTACTTCAAGCCTGAGGTCATACAGAATTCCTGCACGAAAAAGTCTTCCTCCATATCTGCTAGTCTGGACTTGTTTTCCAGCCCATATCCTTTCATTTTCCTCTGAGTGTACTTCTAGGGAAGCCCCCATAGTATTGCATTATAAATTCACTTGTCTGTATGTCTGTAGAGTCAACGCAGGGTCTGAATTTTTAACTTATGTATTCTTGATTCCTGGGGCCCAATAAGCATTCAACAAACGTTTGATTATTGAATAAATAAGTAAATAAATAAGTGCTTCAGTTAATGGGCAAACAAATGTAATAAACTCCTCCTAAGGTACCTATTACCTCTTTATATCCAGAAAATTTTTCCTAGTTATTTGTGAATCATCTAGAGTTTTTTTTTTTTTAAATTAAGGCCATTTCACTTTTTTTTAAAATTTTTATTTATTTATTTATGATAGTCACAGAGAGAGAGAGAGAGAGAGAGAGAGAGAGAGGCAGAGACACAGGCAGAGGGAGAAGCAGGCTCCATGCACTGGGAGCCCGACGTGGGATTCGATCCCGGGTCTCCAGGATCGCGCCCCGGGCCAAAGGCAGGCGCCAAACCGCTGCACCACCCAGGGATCCCTCATCTAGAGATTTTTGTAACCCCTAGTAGTTTCTCTGCTTTCTGAAAGCTGACATTGCCAGACACATCAGTGAAGAATTTGCTGATCAGCATGTTTTAGCTTAGTGGGTAACCTAGGATTCTATGGTTGGGGGATAACTTTCCAGAAGATCTTATCCCCAAACAGTCCCAGTGACTGGATGATACATGTTGCCTTCTATGGAGTTAGTGAAGAAAGTGGACCTGAATGTCCTTGTTTTAAAATATTTGGGGTGGGGGGAGGGAGGCACCCAGGTGTCTCAGTCAGTTAAGTGTCTAACTTTTGATTTTGGCTCAGGTCACAATCTCAGAGTCCTGAGCTTGAGCCCAGTGTCAGGCTCTGTGCTCAGCACAGAATCTGCTTGTCCTCCTTCCTCAACTCCTCCCCCACCCCCACCTCCCTGCTCTCTCTCAATTAAATAAATAAATAAAATCTAGAACATAAATAAAAAATAAAATATTTTAGAGGGTTCTTGTGTCAGTGGCAATTATCAGAAGACTGTGGTTTTCAAGTCCTTGGTATAGCTAAGAGTGAGGCCCATTCCTGCACATTCAGTAACTGATAAGAAGTACCCTGTAGGATTTTTGAATGAACAGTTCTTACACAAGGAAGGTTATATAACAGTAGGGCATGTGGGTTTATCAGATTTAAGTATCCTGGAATTATGTGTGCTGAATTTTCCAAAACATGGATAAAAATCACCAAGTGTTTTATAAAAATCCAAGTCGCTGCTTTCTTAGAAATAAGATTATGCAAAAAAGCACCTTTATTTTCATTTGTACGTGATCATCCATACTAATATGCTAATGCATAGGCAAAATTGTTGCTTTCTTTTCTTATTAACTGAGCAAGAATTCTGTTAGGGACTTTCCCAGCTGAAGAGACGGATAAAATGGTGGTGAAGCACGTTCTAAATTCTTTGCTTACAAACTTTGGAAAGCAAAGGAGTTTTATTCTTTGTGCTTTGAGATCAGCTTATCTGGGAGCATTAAAAAATAAGTCATACAATGCAAAAGATATCACTCTTGCCTCTTTGGGAGAGAAAGAAAGAAAATTCTAGGGATGAGAATGGCTCTGCTGGGCTCCATTTTTTGCTCATCAAAGCTTACAAGAGTCAAACCTGACA